TTTTTTTTTTAAACATCCGCCGGAAGAACGGGATTCATTGATGTTGAATTATATAAGTAATTACTTGTTGTTTAATTAACTATATATATTTGATTTTTTTATTTTTTCTAATTTTAGGTCCTGTTATATCAATTAGTTGTAGTAGTTGAATTTTATGTTGAGCTGGATTAGAATTAGGTTTTTTTGCTCTTATGCCATTACTTCTTAGGGGTAATTACTCCCTTTCAAAAGAAGTTGTATTGAAGTACTTTTCAGTTCAGGCTTTATCTAGGGTCTTATTATTTTTTAGTGGAAGATTTCTTTTTGGTATTAGAAGTTTTAGAGCATTTATTTATTTGATTTTTTTATTTAGCTTAAGCTTAAAATTGGGGTTTTTTCCAGGTCATTTTTGGGTCCCTAGAGTTATTTGTGGATTAGACTGAATTTCTTGTTGTCTTATTTTAGGTCCATTAAAGATTGCTCCTCTTGCATTTCTAGTAAATTTTTTAGGAATTTTTTCAACTTATGAAATGAGTGTTTTACTTCTCGGGGTTATTAGTGCTATTTTAGGGAGATTATTAGGTAACAACCAAACAAATATTCGAGCAATAATTGGATCCTCATCAATTTCGCATACGGGTTGGATATTAGTAGCCAGTGTCCTAAGACAATTATGAAGCTATTTTCTTATTTATTTATTAGTCTTATATGGGTTTTTTTTTATAATAATAAAAATAGATATGATAAGATCAGGCTTTATACTACTATCTTTTAGGGGGCTACCCCCATTTATCATATTTACTGTTAAGATAAACATTATTTTTGAGCTAGCTGTAAAATCCTTTAGTGCCGTGTTTATTATACTAATTCTTAGGTCTTTGTTTAGTTTATATTTCTATTTAAAGTTTTCATATTCTTTGATATTAAATTCAAAAAATAGTCCTAGATTTTTATACTATAGTATTTTCTTATTTATAAATATATTTGGATGTTTATTTATTTATTTATTTTTTGATAGCTATTTTAAGCAATAAACTTTTAATTTATTAAAGAGGTCAAAACCTCTCTTGCGTTGATTATTTTCTACGAATCATAAAGATATTGGTACCTTGTATATAATTTTTGGTGTTTGATGCGGTTTAGTGGGAACAGGCTTATCCTTATTAATTCGTTTAGAGTTAGGAACATCTATAGTTTTAATTGATGAACATTTCTATAATGTTATTGTTACAGCACATGCTTTTGTAATAATTTTTTTTATAGTTATACCTATAATAATTGGAGGATTTGGGAATTGGATAGTACCTTTATTAATTGGGGCTCCAGATATAAGTTTTCCTCGAATAAATAATATAAGTTTTTGGTTACTTCCCCCTTCCTTTGTACTCCTTTTATGCTCTAGAATAATTGAAGGTGGAGTAGGTACTGGGTGAACAGTATATCCCCCCTTAAGAGGGCCTATTGCTCATAGTGGTTCATCTGTAGATTTGGCTATTTTCTCATTACATTTAGCAGGTTTATCTAGAATTTTAGGTGCTATTAATTTTATTACAACAATTTTCAATATACGGTCACCGGGTATTACTTTAGAACGAATAAGGTTATTTGTATGGTCAGTATTAGTAACAGCTTTTTTACTATTACTTTCTTTACCTGTTTTAGCTGGAGCTATTACAATGCTTTTAACTGACCGAAATTTTAATACTACTTTTTTTGATCCAGCTGGAGGTGGGGATCCTATTTTATATCAACATTTGTTTTGATTTTTTGGGCACCCTGAAGTGTATATTTTAATTCTTCCAGGTTTCGGAATAGTTTCACATATTTTAAGAAATTTCTCAGCCAAGCCAGCTTTTGGTACATTAGGGATGATTTATGCTATAGTGTCTATTGGTATTTTAGGTTTTATTGTTTGAGCACATCATATGTTTACTGTTGGTATAGATGTAGATACTCGAGCATATTTTACAGCTGCTACTATAGTAATTGCTGTCCCAACAGGAATTAAGGTGTTTAGCTGACTTATAACACTTTATGGTAGACAATGCCATTTTAGTGCCTCTATATATTGGGTCTTAGGGTTTATTTTTCTTTTTACATTAGGGGGATTAACAGGAATTGTGCTTTCTAACTCCTCTCTTGATATTATATTACACGACACTTATTATGTGGTAGCACATTTTCATTATGTATTATCTATAGGAGCTGTTTTTGCTATTTTCGCAGGATTAGTTTACTGATTCCCTGTTATAAGAGGTTTTACACTTCATGAGGGGTGGGCTAAAGGGCATTTTTTTGTTATATTTTTTGCTGTTAATTTAACTTTTTTCCCTCAACATTTTTTAGGCTTGGCAGGTATACCTCGTCGTTATTGCGATTATCCAGACTCTTACTATAAATGAAACCAGGTTTCTTCTTTTGGTTCATTATTTTCTATTATTGCTGTCGTGATATTTATTTTTCTAGTCTGAGAAGCTTTTTTAACTCAACGTTCCTCTTTATTTCCTGTTGCTCCTTCATTTTCTCGTGAGTGAGACTTATATTTACCACCAGATTTTCATAGGAATGTAGAAACTTCAGTTACATCTCTTTAAAAGTATAGTATATATGTATATTTTAGTTACATTAAAAAGGTCCTTAAAGGTACTTTTAATTTTTAATTAATACTTTAGTTAAGTTCAAATTTTTACAGAAATGACTATTTAGAAATTTATTAAAAACCTTTTGCATAAGTGTTAAACTAGAAGTTAATTTGTTAATATCACCCGAATTTGAAAGATCTAAGAAATTACTTATTATTTTTTAGGTATAAAATTAAATTGTAGCATTAATTTAAAATATTTTTTCTTAGTAGCGAAAAGCTTTCAGTTTCAAGGATATCTGGATCAAAAATAAAAGTATTTAGTACTTAAAACAGTTTAGAAGTGTGAGATTTCTAAAAATCAGAATTAATTTTAATAAATACTATTAAGGGTTAAAACTCAAAACTTTGATAGTTTTTCTAATATTTATTTAAAGTTTAATCTTTTGACTATTTTTGAGATTAGAAAAACCAATAAAACATTTTATAATGTTTAAATTAGTAATATATAATTTATAAAAAGGAACTCGGCAAATAATCTTTTTAACTGTTTATCAAAAACATAGCTTTAAGTCTATATTTTAAGTAATTTCTGCCCAGCGTAATTTATTAGCGGCCGCAGTACCTTGACTGTGCTAAGGTAGCATAATCAATTGGCTTTTAATTATAGTCTGGAATGAACGGATTAATAGGGAAGAACTGTCTCTTTTTAATTTTATTGAAATTTTTTATTAAGTGAAAATACTTATATTTAGATAAAAGACGAGAAGACCCTTAGAATTTTTATTAAAATGTAACTAAACCATAAATTTTTGTTGGGGCGACAGTAAATCACATTAAACATTTAAAAGTTTACATGACAATTAGATTTATAAGAGTATAATTACCTTAGGGATAACAGCATAATTTCTTATAAAGTTTGTGACCTCGATGTTGGACTAGGAACTAAATAACTAACCGTTAACATAGACTGTTCTGTTCGAACATTCACTCCTACATGATCTGAGTTCAGACCGGCGTAAGCCAGGTCAGTTTCTATCTTTTAATTTATTATTTTTAGTACGAAAGGACCAAAATAAATTTATTAATTTGGCAGATTAATGCAATTGATTTAGAATCATTATATACTTTAGATAAGTAATTTCAAAAACAGTTTTTTGAAACGTTAACTTTGGAAGTTAAAAGGTGACGATTTGTCATTTTTGGGTTAAATACTTTAGCTTTTAGAAGAATTAGTTTGCAACTAAAAAGGGGAGTGTTCCTTTAACCAATTAGATTTATTTTTTCTTTGATAATATTATGTATTTTTACTACACTATTTCCGTTACTTTCAAGTCCAATTAGATTAGGAAGCTTCGTAATTGGTATAAGGGTTTGTCTAGTCATAATAATTAACATAATTTCAAGTGCCTGATATAGTTACTTGTTATTTCTCGTCTATATTGGTGGATTATTGGTCCTATTTATTTATATATGTTTAATTAGTTCTAATACTGAGTTTTTAGGGAGAATCTCCCATAATATTTTTGTTATTTTTAGTATTAGAATACTATGTTCATGGGGATTTTACAGTTTTAACTGATGTACTCTTGGTAAGTACACTTATGACTCAGGAAGAAATATTAATCTATCTCTTTTTATGTGTTTAGTAATTATATTATTATTGATTTTTTTAGCTATTGTAGATATTGTAAAAATTAATAGCTCTTTACAGATTGAAGAAAAATAAGGTTCAAATAAGATTTCTTCTGTTTGGTTTTAGTATCATAATAGCCTTATTCTATAGTTTTGTTTTACTAGATTCAAAGATGTACTTATTAGAATATGAGTTATTTCTTTTAAATAGAGTTCCTTTTTGTTTTACAATAATTTTTGATAAAGTAAGTCTAAGTTTTAGGATAATTGTTACCTTAATCTCGGGTTGCGTTTTTATATTTTCTGTGGAGTATATAGAAGAAGATGAATATTACTGACGTTTCATTTGAATTCTTTTAAGTTTTGTAGTATCTATAAATTTTTTAATTTTTGCTGGGAGGTTTTTTTTTATACTTCTAGGATGAGATGGATTAGGAATTACATCTTTTGCTTTAATTGTTTACTATCAAAGCAAAGATTCACTAAGTGCGGGTTTTCAAACATTATTAATTAATCGTTTAGGAGATGTGATTTTGGTTTGTAGTAGTTTTTTTTATGTTATTATAGGGCATTTTCAACTGTTTTCTTTATTTAGTGGTATAAGACTATTTGTTTTATTGATGTGCTTAACAGGGTTAACTAAAAGTGCCCAATTTCCTTTTAGTTCTTGACTCCCAGCAGCCATAGCAGCTCCTACTCCTGTGAGAGCATTAGTTCACTCTTCTACCCTAGTAACCGCGGGGATTTATTTAATTATTCGTTTTAGTAGTGGACTACCTTTAATAGAAGATTCAAAATCAATTCTTTTGTTTTGCGGTTCTATTACCTGTTTTTTAGGAGGAACAGCAGCAGTATTTGAAAATGATTTAAAAAAAATCATTGCTTTGTCAACATTAAGTCAACTAGGGGTTATGGTTTTTTGTTTAGGTTTAGGCTTACCTTACCTATCCTTATTTCATTTATATGCTCATGCTCTATTTAAAGCTTTACTTTTCTTAGCAGCGGGTAAAATTCTTCTAGCTAGATTTGGAAACCAGGATATTCGATTACTTGGGGGATTAGGGTTAAGAATGCCTTTGTGCATTATTATGTTTAATATCAGTAGTATATGTTTAATTGGGGCACCTTTTATAAGGGCATTTTTTTCTAAACATTTAATTTTAGAGATAATATTAATATCAAAAATTAACCTATTAAGAATTTTTCTTATAATTTTAGCTACATGTAGAACTGTTGTTTATGTCATTCGTAGATTAAAATCTATTTGTTGATTTAGTCCCTCTTACTTGATTGTAAGTTATTCCAATAGTTTAAACGTTTATATTCCTATAATTGTTTTAAGAGTGTGTAGAATTTTTTTTGGAAAAATATATAGTTTATTAGAGTTATCTCTTACTGAGACTGTATTTTTAACAAAAATTTCCAGGATCTTTATTAATATATTAATAATTGTTGGTATTTGAATTGGCGCAATAATCTCGGGACCTAAAAACTCTAATATATTTTCATTATTATTTTATTTAACTCCTTTTTATAATTTTAGTACCAAAGTTTTATCACCTTTTAGAAAAAATATAGTAATACTAGATTATGGTTGATTAGAAACTGGATTAAGAATTAATAATTTTATCAACAAATTTAACATACACTTTGGAAAATTTAACTGACCTAGCTATTTATCTTATTATCGAATTTCTTGAATTTTAATGTTATTACTTGTTATTGATTTTTTTATCTAGATTATTAAGATGTTTATGTGTACTAATTTCAGTGGCCTTTTATACACTCTTAGAGCGAAAAACTTTAGGTTACATTCAAATCCGAAAAGGGCCTAAGATAGTTGGTTTTTGAGGGATTTTACAGCCTTTTGCTGATGCAGTTAAACTTTTTGTAAAAGAAAAAATAGTGCCACATAGTAGTAATCAAATAATATTTTATTTAGCGCCATTTATTGGTTTTATATTAGCTATATTTTTATGGTATTTATATCCTAGAAACTATAATCTAAAATTTATTAGATGAAGGATACTTATTTTTTTTTGTGTTAGAGCTTTAAACGTATACTCAATCTTATTAGCTGGATGGACTAGAAATTCAAAATATGCCTACCTAGGAAGTTTACGAGCTTCTGCACAATCAATTTCTTATGAGATTTGTTTATTATTAATTTTATTATTGCCACTTTTTTTTATATCTGATCTGAACATTTATAATTTTAGTTTTTTTCCAGTTCTATTGCTAATACTTCCTGTTATAAGAGTTTGATTTACATCATCTTTAGCCGAAACTAATCGAGCCCCATTTGATTTTGCAGAAGGCGAGTCTGAATTAGTTTCAGGTTTTAATATTGAATATGGAGGTGGGGCGTTTGCTCTTTTATTTTTGGCAGAGTATGCTAATATTTTATTTATAGCCATAATAACTGCAGTATTATTCTTGTATTCTTCGAATTTTTTTATACTAGTCTTTAGAAGAGTATTTGTATCAATGTTTTTTCTATTTGCTCGAGGAGCTTTTCCCCGACATCGTTATGATTTTTTAATAAATATTTGTTGAAAAAGATTTCTACCATTCAGTATATGCTCTATAGTTCTATTGAGGGTTTTTTTTTAAAATGTTAAATATTAGCATTATAATAATATTTTTTTTAGTGTGAACTTTTTATCGAAACTATTATTATATCTTAAATTTATTAATTATTTTAGAAGCATTAATGTTGAGTGTAATCCTATTTTCATATAATTTTAATACTACTTTATACACAAGAAATTTTATATTCTTATTACTATTAACTTTTGCTGCATGTGAGGCTGCACTTGGTTTATCCCTACTGGTTAGTTTTTTACGAGTGCGGAGAAGCAATTTTCTTTCAAGAATAGGGAGAACTAATTGATTTGCAAAAAATACGATTGATTGAAAGTATAAGTTCACTTCCGACCCCTTTAAGAATTTCTATCTGATGAAATGGAGGATCTATTTTAGGTTTACTTTTGGTTTTACAAATTCTTACAGGGTTTTTTTTGTCAATACATTATACTTCAGATATTATGAATACTTTTGCTTCAGTAATACATATTAGACGGGATGTTCCTTATGGTTGAATATTTCGTAGATTTCATGCTAATGGTGCGAGGTTTTTTTTTTTGTTTATTTACTTACATATTGGTCGAGGGTTGTATTATCAAAGTTTTATGACACAACCTCGTACTTGACTTGTAGGTACTACTATTTTTTTAGTAAGAATAGCAACAGCTTTCCTTGGTTATGTCTTACCCTGAGGCCAAATAAGATTTTGAGGGGCTACTGTAATTACGAATTTAATATCTGCTATTCCTTATTTTGGTCCTGGATTAGTCGAATGAATTTGAGGAAGATTTTCAGTTGGGCAATCTACTTTAACTCGATTCTACTCATTACATTTTATTATACCTTTTGTAATTGGATTCTTATCGGCAATTCATATTTATTTCTTACACGAAAAAGGAAGAACTAACCCATTAGGCGACATTAACCATATTTCTAAATCTAGTTTTCATCCTTATTTTTCTTTAAAAGATTTTGTAGGTTTTATAGTAGTCCTTTTGGCTTTAAGTGTTGTCGCTTTAGGTTTTCCTAATTGACTTGGAGATCCTGAAAATTTTTCTATAGCTAATATAAAAGTTACCCCTACACATATTCAACCAGAGTGATATTTTTTATTTGCCTATGCAATTCTTCGCTCAATTCCTTCAAAATTAGGTGGTGTAATTGCATTAGTTATATCAATTTTTGTTTTATATTTTCTTCCTTTAATATCTTTTAATTACTGTATCTCTTCAAGTTTTTCCCCTATATTCCAGGTGTTTTTTTGGGTTTTCAGAATTAACTTTATTTTATTAACTTGACTTGGAGCATGCCCTATTGAAGAACCTTATATAAGGTTAGCTGTGCCTTGTACAATTTTGTATTTTTGTACTTTGTTTATTTTAATATGATCTCCTACTAAGGTATATTTTATCTAGTTTACTTAAAATATTAGTTTGTCAAGCTAATGAAGCACTTTTGCGATTATCAAATAGCTTATATATTAAAGCTTAGTACTGAAGATACTAAAAAGGACTATTCCTTTGTTAATTGAGATTTTTTGGTCAAGTAAATTTAATAGACCCAGCAACACCAATTCAAGAGGAGATATTACTATTTCATGATCATGCTTTAGTTCTTTTAGTAGGAATCTTTGTTTTTGTAGTTATTTTAGGGGTAAATTTAATTTATAACAATTTATCTTCACGAACTATACTAGAAGCACAACAATTAGAGACAATCTGAACTATTGTTCCTGCTTTACTACTAATTTGATTAGCATTACCATCTTTACGACTATTATATTTATTAGATGAGCAACCTACAAATGGTTTAGTTTTAAAAAGAACAGCTCATCAATGATATTGAAGTCACGAGTTACCCTTTACAGGTAATGCTTTTGATAGTTATATAACTCCACTTAGTGATTTAAGAGTAGGGGATTTTCGACTTTTAGAAGTAGATAGACGGGTTACTCTTCCTTTTTCAGTAAATACTAATGTTATTACAACATCAGCTGATGTTTTACATGCTTTTGCAGTTCCGTCAATAGGAGTAAAAATAGATGCAGTCCCAGGACGACTAAATAGTATAAGAATATTTATTAAACATCCTGGTATTTATTATGGTCAATGCTCAGAAATTTGTGGGGCTAATCATTCTTTTATACCTATTGTAATTGAAGCAATTAACTTTAATGAATTTTATTTTGATGGCCGATATATTAAGCGAAAGATTGTAAATCTTTTTATGACTTTTGTCTCAAAGATATAAGTTATATTAAACTGCTGGTCTTCAAAATCAGATAAAGAAATAATTTCTTTTCTTTGTGAAATTTAGTTTAAGGGAAAATTAAAACATCGATTTGCAAAATCGAAGATGTATATATACTATTACAGTTTTGATTTTTTATAGTATAAATGTACATTTACCTTCCAAGTAAAAAGTCCTTAAAGGTCTTTTAGTAGGTTAATAAAACCGAAGATTTGTGGTATCTTAATTAAGTTTTTTCTAAAAGCAAATAAATAGCAAAAATAAAATATTTTTCTTTGGAAGCATCCTCTTAGAAATTCAAATCTTCTTGTGCAAAAACACCTAAAGAAAAGAGGAAATATATTCATCCTAGTCGCTTAAAAACTATGCATTTTTCTGCCACCCTAAAAAAAGTCTATTGATTTATTATGATTCTTAAAATTAAAACTTTTAATTAAGATTTTTTTATAGCTAAAAAACATAAAAAGAAGTAGAAGAGAAAAAGTAATTAACAAAAAAATGCCCAAACCAGAAGTGGGTCTTAATTGTGGTATTTTAAGTGGCGAATACAGCAATCTTTTAATTAACAATTAAACGCAAAACTAATTTGCTTCACTTAAAATGTGAATGTTCACTAGAGTAAAGTCTAATTAGTAAAGTAAAAATGTATGCTTGAATAAAACATACAAACACTTCAAATATATTATAAAAAATTGAAGCTCTTAACACTACTACCCTTGATGGGAAACTTAATCTAGTTAAACAATTTGCAATTAATGATAAGACAATATGACCTGCACTAATATTAGCAATTAAACGGACCGTTAAAGTTAATGGACGAATAAAAATTGACACAGTTTCAATTAAAATTAAAAAAGAAACTAGAGCGGCAGGTGAACCACTAGGTGCTAAGTGAGCAGCTGTTTGTTTAGGGGAATAAATAAAACTAGAGATTAATAGTAAACCTCAAAGTAATAGAGCTAAAGTTCTTGCAAATCACAATGACCTTGAAGGACTATAAACAAAAGGAGTTAGCCCATTAATATTTACTAAAATAATAAAAAATATCAAAGAATATAGTATTAAAGGTAGAGGAAATAAGCTTCGATTTCCTTGAGTAAACTTATTTAAAGAAAAAAATACCCTTGCAAATCTTACATTATAAGACTTATTAAATAATAAAATTGCAATAATAATTGAAGGTAGTCAAGATAAGATGCTAAAACAACCATCTAAAGAAGAAAATAAGTCTGTAAACAAAAAAAACCAGGTAAACACCAAAATTAAGGCCGAAACTTAATGCAATAAATTTGCTTTGATTTTTTATTTTTAAGTTATTAAAAACTCTTTTTATCACGAAAAGATAATGTGAAACACTATAAAAACAGAGACAGTTTCCACTACCTCTACTATGTTACGACTTATCTCCTTTTTCAACGAGAGTGACGGGCGATTTGTGCACAAGATTTTATTAATTCAAAACATAATTTTTATTTTTACTTTCAAGTCCAACTATTTATAATTAAATTAAAATTATACCTGAAAAATAATACTGTAACTCACCTTAAGTCTTAAATATGTGCTACACCATGACCTGTTTTAATGGGGTAAATTCCATTTTGGTTTCATGAAAAATGTAACCTTACAACGGCAATATATAAACTTTAAATTTAAGTAGGGCAACTTGTGTGCTATCAATTATCTGGTAAGTTCCCCTGAAATTAAATCTTACCGCCATACTCTTTAAGTTTTAGTCTATTGACTTTAGTGCTTAGGTCTTTTTGTTTGTGTTCAAAATAATAGGGTATCTAATCCTAGTTTTATTTTGCTGAATTTTTTAAAAGAAGCTAAATCAAAAAGCATAGAAGCAATTATATTTCACTAAAAAATGCTCTATACATTTAAAATAAAACCTGAAATTTTTTATTAATATTAAGGTATGACCGCAACTGCTGGCACCTTTTTGGTTATATTACGTTAGTCTACTGAATTATTATTTCTAATATTGTTCAATATTTCATGCTGGAAACGCAAAACTTCCATTCCATAGTAAACTAATTACAAAAATTCTTATTAGAGTAAAGTAAAATTTAAAGGAGGAAATCTTTTTTTGAGTTATGAGCCCAACAGCTTACAGTTATAGCTTACCTTTAAAAGAAATTCAATCTAAGGCTCCTTCTTTTCACTCATAAAAAATTCCAATTAACAGAATAAACAAAAAAATTAGTAACCTTAGAAGTATAAAAAATGAATTGGAGAGATAAATAGAAATTAAAGGAAATAAAAGTCTAATCTCTACATCAAAAATTAAAAAAAGAACTACTAAGAGAAAAAAACGAGTCCTAAATGGTGCTCGCATAGCTCTTAATGGTTCAAACCCACACTCAAAAGAAGTTAATTTTTCTTGTTCATTTTCAATAGGAAAATTTGTTATTATAAATAATAACAGAAGTAATCTACTTAACAAAATAGATAGAAGTATATTATATCCTATTTTAGTGACTTCACTAAGTGGAGTGTCTTCTCCTTTAGGGATTTTCAAAATCTCTGTAAACAAAAAACCATAAGAAGTTATAATTGAGGCTGCTAACTTTGATTTGGGGAAAATATTCTCCACTCCTTTATTATCTCTTCTTTGATAGGTCTTATTTTTATTACTCTTTTTAGATCATTTTGAAGTATTGGTGTTCTTATTTTCTCTATAATTTTATTATTAAGAATTATAATATTAAAAATTGATTTTATAATAACTTTAAATATAGTTTTCTTAGGGGGTCAAATAGGAAGGATATTAGTATTTTTAACTTTAATATTAGTACTACTATCATTTATGGCAACTCCTTCTAATAAAAGTAAATGGTATTTAACATGTTTAGGTTTTTTAGGGCTAATTTTAATTTTAGCTTTTACTTCGAGCAATTTACTAAGTTTTTATATTTTTTTTGAAGCCTCCTTAGTACCTACTCTTATTTTAATTATTTGTTGAGGGTACCAACCTGAACGACTACAAGCAGGGAGTTATATAATACTATATACAGTTACGGCGAGGTTACCTTTATTATTTCTACTTCTAAACTTAACTTTAAAAACGTCTACGTTTAATATTGCTTTAATAAGTCAGTTAAAGAGTTTTGAAATTAATGAGGTTGTGGTACTTATTTTATATGGTGCTTTCCTAGTTAAACTACCCCTATATTCATTTCATTTATGACTTCCTAAAGCTCACGTAGAAGCTCCATTAGCAGGTTCTATAATATTAGCAGGAATTTTATTAAAGTTAGGGGGCTATGGGCTATATCAAATAAATAATTGTTTTAATTTATTAACAAAGATAAATGTAATATATTTTCTTATAGCCTTAGCTATATGAGGATCAATTATATCTTGTTTAATATGTATACGACAAAATGACATAAAAGCATTGGTAGCATACTCTTCAGTGGCCCACATAAGATTAGTAGTAGTAGGAGTTTTAATAAATAGTCAATGAGGGATGGTTAGTGTAATAATTATATTATTTGCACATGGAACTACATCTTCTGCTCTTTTTTGCATAACCTATTTTACATATGAAAAAGTTAATACTCGTAGGATAGTTTACATTAAAGGTTTACTACAAGTTTATCCTTATATTAGTTATTTTTGATTTGTTTTATGCAGAGTTAATATAGCAGCACCCCCTACTTTAAACTTGTTAAGGGAATTAATAATTGTACCCTGTTTATGAAAAATTTCTTATTTATTTATTATCATTATAGGTTTATTAGTATTTCTTAGTGCTAGTTATAATATATTTATATACTCAAGTCTTAACCACGGTTTTCAATCTTCATATCTTTTGCCTTCTAAAAATATAAAATCTTTTGAGATAAATTCAATTATTTGCCATTTAGTTCCCCTATGTTTAATTTTAAAATCAGAGTTATTTGTTTTTTTACTAGAAATCTAGTACCAAAAGGTAAAAATACCTTCTTTGAATTACAAAATCAAGGCTTTAAGTATAAGCTATTTTGGTATGATCCTCATCAATAAATTCTAATATACAAAAATAATCAAACTACATCAACAAAATGTCAATACCATGCAGCTGCTAAAAAACCCACATGATGTTGTTTATTAAAATGATAGAAAAATATACGTAGTAAACAAATAAATAAAAAAGTGGCTCCAACTGCAACGTGAGTTCCGTGAAAACCCGTAGCTAGAAAAAAGCAAGAACCATAAATTCCATCAGCTATAGAAAAAGCTGTCTCCATATACTCCCCATATTGAAGGATTAAAAAATAAAAACCTAGTAATACTGTTAAAAGTAAGCCTTGAATTGCAGAAAAATACTTTCCCTCTTCAATTCTATGATGAGCTCAAGTAACTCTAACACCTGATAAAAGCAACACAGATGTATTTAGAAGAGGTACTTGAAAAGCTTGTAGTGTAGAAATTCCTGTAGGAGGTCAGTGAGCACCTACTTCAATAGTGGGTGCTAATCTCCTATGAAAATAAGCTCAAAAAAATGCCAAAAAAAAACATACCTCAGATAAAATAAATAAAGAAACTCCTATTTTTAAGCCTTTAGCTACATTTTGGCCATGATGTCCTTGAAATGTAGATTCTCGAATAACATCTCGTCACCAAAAGTAAGAAATACTTCTAGTAGTGGCAAATCTTAAAAAAAGTAGAGTTATGTCTCTTGTTCGTAAAAAATTAATTATGCCAATTGGTATAGCTAAAATTCTAAAAGAAACTAGAATTGGTCATGGTGAAAATTCAACTAAATGAAAAGGTTGGCGAAACATAATTATTTAATTTTTAAAATATTTATATGGGTTTTTTTTTTAAACATCCGCCGGAAGAACGGGATTCATTGATGTTGAATTATATAAGTAATTACTTGTTGTTTAATTAACTATATATATTTGATTTTTTTATTTTTTCTAATTTTAGGTCCTGTTAT